TACGTTTCTCTGACTAAGATATTCCATACCACGAGCCACTTGAAATGCCCAAGACAAAAGATCTTGAGTACAAATTGGTTTCAAATTATGATCCTCATAATCACCACGATAATTGGATCTACAACCAGGTTGTGGAGAATTATTGCTAAGTGTACAACCTCCATTAGGTGACATACATGTACCTTGAGAGTCCGTTGTACTAGGAACTCTTATTTACTAAATTTTAGTAATAACCATTACAATTAATATATCCATTAGAAGATTAACTACTATTACAGTGATTTTGATTAGAACATTAAATGATACTCTTGCTAGCATTTCGAACACATTTGACATTAAATGAATAATTATAACATAATATATATTATATATGATAGGATGAATAGATGTGATTAATATATAATATACAGCAAGACATGAAACATATGTGTTATAGAAAGTAGGAAAGAAAATAAAATAGAAAATACAAACAAACCTATTATTACTGCTTATACTGGCAGTTCTCGTGAGAAGATCAATACCAATTGTAGGATCAAATTTACCAGTGGAAGGATCAATTTGATTGATAAAATCTATTCTGTGTCTCAATARGAAATTATGTAARTTACCAAATCGACAGTACTCAACGATGACCAATAATTCACCTAAAGCAAATAAAACCAAACAAAATAAATCGAATATACTAAAAGTCATTTTATGATGATAGAAATGAGAAGTATATAACATAAAACATACGTTTTGAAATATTTTTCGTGCAAGCACCTAAAAGATTGACGACGTTCAAATGTTTACCAAGATGTACCATAATCTTTAATTCACTTACTAGTGCACGAATATAAATTGGATCTGTCGTACGTCGTACCATTTTAACTGCAACCGTTGTTACATTTTCACCAGCATTAATTCCTATAGCTTCTGCTTTTATAACAACCCCGAATTCTCCACTACCCAATTGTTCTCCTAAATTATTATTAACAAACGTATTAATTTAAATGATCATTAAAATATATTCGTTACAATCTATCAATAAATATATTAGGAAAAATTTTGCAAAATCAATGTAYCATAATTTTTTGTTCTTGCAATTGTTTTAGATGCTACCTCCTAATTATTAATTTAAAGTATGTTAAAAAAAATAAAATCAAAAATGTATTCTATATRCATTAGGGAGGGTCWAAAAAATCAATTATTTTTTTTTTACATGTKCCACGAAAAAATGGGTTGCTAGACACCTTAAAAAAATTCTCACTAAATATCAGCACTTAATTTTAATAGGAAAATCCTTCGCATCGCAGTTTTTTATTTTTTTCTCAGTCTAAAAGAATAAATCTTATACCTCGTCATTAATCGATTGTACAGAAAAWTGTTYGGAAATAATTTTGTAGGAAATTTAATGCTCTATAAAAAAGGTATCTTATATTTTTTCCGTAAACCTCACCATTTGAATGATATTGAAGATTAAAGTTTAATTATTTTAAGACAAATTTCATTTTTKTTTATGAATTTTATAACTCGACAATAAACAACTATTATAAAATGCGCAATACAAATTCTTGAAGGAAATTAACTGCTGTATAAAAATGGTGTCCTATGTTTTGGCGATTAAATTAAGCGTTCGAAAGATATTCAGAGACAGATATCAGTACACATGAAAGTTTGATGATGAATTTGTTTTAAAATAATCAAACTTAAATCTTCAATATCATTCAAATGGTGAGGTTTACGGAAAAAATATATGATAATATTTTTGTAGAGCATTAAATTTCYTACAAAATTCTTCGAGAACATTTTTCTGTACAATCAATTAATGATGAGGTATGAATTTTATTCTATTGGACTGAGAAAAAAATAAAAAACTGCGATTTGGAGGATTTTTCTATTAAAATTAAGAGCTCATATTTGGTGAGARTTATTTTAAGGTGTCTAGCAAACCCTAAAATATATATATATATTTAAAAAAACGGTGACGGTTAGTCACCTTATAAGTATATATTTTAGTGCATTAAATAAATATGTCTAATGGTTATTGTTGCACTGGTGGTACACGTGGAACGGAACGTGTTAATTATAATTTATATTATTATTATTAATTTTATATTATATTATTAATTAATAATATTAATATTATATTAATAATTTATGTTATGTTTTATTATTTTATATTATTTATTATTTATAATTTATATTAGTAATTTATGTTATATTTTATTATTTAATATTATTTGTTAATTATAATTAATAATATTGTTAATTATATATGTATTAGTAATATAATGGAATTCAGCACAAGTTCGCATGGCTTAGTGAGCCAAATCACCATCCAGTAATCGTACGTTCCTGAGTTCTCAAATCCCGGGGGTGAAAAAAAAATAATACGTCATATACTAGTAAGAAATTCGGCAACAACTAGACATCTTTATGACATCATTGCTTTTTTGTTCTTTTGTTTCGTCAGGTCAGCTTAACGTCATATTTATTACGTAAAAGTCTTACATATATAAGTGTGAAATCATGAGTCACATGTGACTCATATCTGACTTATATTTTACGTAAATCCTGACATAGTGCAAAATCATTTTGACGTCATTTTGATGTAATTGTGTTCACTGAGAATATAATGGAATTATGACGTCATTTTTAAGTCAGAACAAATGACTTTATATTAAGGTCATAAATAAGTCACCATTAAGTCATGTCTAGGAAAAAATTTGTAGATCACTGTATGACATATGTATGACATCATTTTAAGGTCTTGTGTTCACTGGGACGAGTTAAATAAGAACTGATCAAATTAAATCAATTAATCAATAATGCGTCATACTCATACGTGAGGTAAATGTTGGTTATCAAATAAGTTTACAGATATACAATCTTTGAATATTACCAAGTTTCAACCTTTCTCTTGGAAATTCCCATTTCTTATCGTAAGGAAGTAGTTCTGCTTGGTCATTTACTGTCAATTCCGGATTTAAAAATTCCAAAGCACCTTCCTCGAAATGCATTAGACCAGCTTCTAATAATTCCTTCCTCATTTTCTATACAATTATCAAAATCGGAATAAACGTGTTATTTGGTTTTTTCCATTATTCATTGTGCTACTTTTTATTTCTCTTTTGTTTTTTTTTTTAATTTTCTTACCTTTTCACGACGAACTTTAATTGTAAGGTACAATATCAAGCCGATCAGTAAGATTATCAATACAACGATTAAAATTATTAACACTTTAGGTAATTCTTTTCCTATAAAAAAAAAAAAATATATATATATATATAAAGAAAATGATTAGAAAATTCAATGATTTTTTGTACTTTAATTGTCAATAACATACCCATTATCAATATATTTTGATAAGATTCTATTTTTCCTAAACGATTTTCAGCTCTGCAAGAATATTTTCCACTGTCGTATTCAAATACAAATTTTATGTAAAGTTCTTGATTATCTCTCTTACATTCGTATTGTTCACTGTTTTTTAATCTCACGTTATCCTAAAAACAATACAAAATTTTTATACATACACATACATACATACTTATATATATATAATATTTAATAAATAAATATAGTTTTTTTACCTTATACCATGTAACTTGTGGTTTAGGCATACCATCTACATAGCACTTCAAAATAATAAGTTTGTGATTTTCTTTACCGAAATCGATTACCAAATCAGTATCATTCAAATTCATATTAGTAAACGAAGGTTTTTTCGGTTCTGAAAATGAAAAAAATTGGTTA